ATTTATATTTATATTTATATATACACTCCTTCATTAAGGGATACTGGACGGTCTGAGAAGTTTCCTTCCGAAAGTGCCACCTATTTTGTAGCCGAGCCTGCGAGGAGGGCCTTGCCCAGGGCAGCGCACATCTTCCTCCTTCCCGAGTTTAGATTAGGGTTTAAGGTTTAGGGTTTTGTTTGTTGTTCAACCGGGTTTTTTGCCTCCCAGCAGCTAGGAAAATGGTTTTGTCGGGTTCAGGGTTCTGTTTGTTGCTCAATGGGCTTTGTAGGGTCTGATAGAGTAGGGCATTTATTGGGGGGCTTCAGCAGTTGATTAAGGCTTGAAGTTCTTGGAAGGTTTTGAAAGGCGGCTCCGCACTTATGTAGGTGTTGATGATCCCAATCCTAACGGGAGTTGTGGTATATCCCTTAACTAAGAATCAGACCTTAGCCTTGTCCACGAACAGCGGGGTTTTGGATTTGTGGCTGGAGGGCTGAGGTTGCGGGTTCAGGGTCTGGGGGAGGAGTGGGCCAGTCCATACAGTAGTCGGTTGGAGGAATCGGAGCGAGGCAGCCTGGAGTTTCGATGGCCTCAGGACCACTGCGGTTCTTCGCTATACACCACTATGATTTCTGTGCTGTTTGTCTGCTTGGTCGTGGCAATCGTATGACTGTTGCTGTGTCTGATGTCGGAGATGTTGCACCGGTTCTTCCCGTTGCGACGACCCTGCCTTCTGAGACCATCAAGGCTCCAATTCCTTTCCTACGTAGCCCAAACCCGATTCAAGGTGCGCGCCTCGGATTTCAGCTAATGCCACACATGTTGACTTCGGACGAGCCGAGCAAGGTACTGAGACAAGGCTCGAATGGTCAGGATTCAGAGAAAGACCCTAAACCCTACACCCTAAACCTTAAACCGTACCTGCCATAGCAGCAAGCAAAACCTCGAAGAAACCAGGCTTTTGCCACCTTTCTTTACCGAAACACACGAAGAGGGCTCTCGATGAATGAGCTCTGAGGTTGTGATGTCATTAGGCTGTGTCTTCTGTCTTGCCTGAGGTTTTGTTGTGGTCGGTTTTTGTTGACTTAGTGTCGTTTTCTCCTGTTGGAGGATCTGGCCACGAAGATGGTCTTCCTCGCTTCGTGGGCAACATACGCCTCGTAGCTGCACCACAGCCTTCTGACAGGGCATTCTGCTTCGCTAGAGGCCGAGCCGCGAACATCAAAGCATCAAATCCTGACCCGCAAAGCGTCTACCCATAGGCCCCTAAGTAGTTCCTTTTTGGGATTACCTTATAGGATTCTAAATATCAACCATAAAAAGGAACTACTTAGGGGCCTATGGGTAACTGGGTTTGGTTCCACAGCAAACGCAAACTGCTTTTCGCAACCCCGGCGAAGAACAAGAAGCGATGCCTCTAGTGTGGCCCGCACCCTACCAAAGGATTGCGATGCAGATGACATTGCCAAGACGAAGCATACAAACTAAGTTAACAATAACCATACCACTCACAATCTGCGTTACTGGGCATCCCAACTGATTAAGGCTTTAATGGACACAGGACTGCGGCGAGAATCTATACTTTCTACTCCGCAACCCCTAGTGCTACCACATGCTCGGCCAAACACTAGTACTGCCAAATGTCGGTGGCATTACGTAAGTTACTCCCACGTCACCCATTCCCTAAACCAATGAACCCAAAACTCCACAGCCAAGAACCCGAAAACCTAAACCCTAAACCGTTGCGAAACCAAACACTCCCCTCGTGTGTTTTATATATAGACACCGTACCTTCTACTGTACAGCTTAATTGTGAATATAGACACCCTACCTTCTACTACACAGGTTTATTGTTAATATAGACGCCCTACCTTCTACTACATAGGTACTTAGGACTCTTTGGGAATATAGCTTGCCTCGTGTAGATGCTGCAGTGGCGGTTTGGCACAACCAGGACCCAGGTGGAGGCCTGGATCGGTTTCGGGGCTTAGGGGTTTAGGGGTTTAAGGGTTTAGGGGTTTAGGGTTTGCAGGGTTTAGGGTTTATAGGGGCTTAGGGGTTTAGGGTTTTAAGGGGTTTAGGGGTCTGGACTCACACTCGCACAAACCGGCAAGGCTCCGCACATAGGGGTCAGGGCTTATGGGGCTTAAGGACTCGTCCAGTATCCTTGGGGCAGTAAAGGTTAACCTTGGAACTTTATATAGTAGCCCCCTGCTCGGCTTAGGTTTCAAAACTTGCTGCAGGATATTTTTTTCCTCCCCGAAGGCTATAAGGGATCAAAAGTTTAGGGCTATAAGCCTAGCTGTAGTTGGCGGTGTAGTTCTTTTAGGGTGCTGGGCCTGAAGAGCCAGCGCAAAGGGTGAGTTGCTGGGAGACTGCAGCAATGCTCCAATATCCAGATTTTGTGGGTTGGCCAACATGCAGCACCAGGCATGTCGAGCATCTCGGGGCCAGGAATGTAAGACTTTGGACAGGAGCTCGAATACCTCTCTTCTTCAAGAACCAGGCCCAAAAAAGTTCAAACTTTTTTAGGATAGACCTGATATATGAAGCCCAAAAAGTTTAACGTTACCCCATTGGCTATCTAAGATACACCTTCTTGCCAGGCGTGACTCATGAACAAGTGACATTCCAAGCCATCCGGGTGTCGCATCAAAGCCCAGCTAACCTTTCCGGCTTCCTGCGTAACTGGCATGATGTACTGCCTGTTCACAGCGTAGATGCTGGGCCCATATTGCTTGTCAGAGACCGCAAAATCGTCAGTGCCGCCATCTGGCGGCGCAATCTCGCCATTCTGGATAGCCTTCCGAACTTCCCGCCACAAATACTTCAGATCTGAGCGATTGACGCACCAACGGTCGGGCGGCACAGATTCGTGCAAAGCAAGAGCCTCTTGGGTGGTGTATCTGCAAGAGCTCCGCATGGCTGCATTGACTCGCTCTTGCTGCTGCGCGGCTGCGATCACAGCATTCCCAGTCTCCGATCAAAATAATCACAAATGAAAGGCCCCAGGCATGAACACAAGGTTCTCCATGGCGCTGCAATGCTATGTGCTGAAGCAGTCTATGCTTTGTCCACCTGTCGCCACCAAAACACGAAGACACAAAGTGCTTGGCGCAGCCATCGGGATTCCAAGGGTTGCTTGGAATGAAAGCTGCTGGATATAGGCCCAAACATGCAGAAACTGATTCAAACCCAGTCCGGTTCACAATGCCAAGCCCTACAATGAGGCTGCTGGCTAGATGCTTGGCCGTCCTATTCGTAACCCTAAACCGTAAACCCTAAACCCTATTCGACCATTCGAACGGAAAACATGGCCGGCACAAAAGGGAATCAGCAGTTGACGTGGCAGCGGAAGGCATTGCTAGTTCAGTCATGCCCGTGGTCGTCCAGGTCGCATGCGTCGTAGCAGTCGGAGAAGCAGAAGTACTAGAAGAAGGAGGAGTGGTGGTGCTAGCAGTAGCAGCAGCTTTAGCAGTAGCGATAGCTGCAGCGGCAGGGGTTGCGGTAGTGGTGGCGGCGGCCCTGGCACTGCTGCTGCTACTAAACCCTAAGCCTAAACCCTAAGCCCTAAGCCCTTTTTTACACCTAAACCCTAAACCACCACTACCACTGCGGACGGCGACTACTCCTGCTACGACATCAAAGGCCAAGCAGCCAGGAGGAGTCGGTTGCTACTGTTGATGATACAAATCCTCCATTACCCGGAATAAAGGAATATACATAATTCACAAAGTTTAGGGTCCTGAAGGTAATGCAGGATATCATCAACGGTATTATCAGTCTTTCTGCTCTTTTTGGTCGCGCATCGAGTCGAGCGAACCAGCACCTGACCGGATTGAAAGGGAGTGCTGATGACTTTGTAGGACAGCACCAATCCAAACAGCACGAAGTACAAGTGGTTGCTTCTTGACCTTTGTGTTTGCAACACTCCGAGTGGCTGTTAAACTTTGCCATGGTGGTCTACATTGGGGGCCCTTGTTGTGAGACGATGCTATGGACTCCACACGGGCTCATTGGGAAACCATAGGAATCTGCCAAGCCCCCCAGCCGTGTTCATTTTCGCAGCTTGTCTACACAGCCGAATGAAGGAAGAACGTCCCAACTCCATAAGGGCCGGAGATTAAGTGTATGAGAGCCCAAGACAACCCTCACAGAAGACTTAAGCATCTGAAGACCCATATCCACAAAAAAAAACTGGCAGAACCCCAACGCCTCAAGAAGGCGTTGAAGAAGGCGAAGAAGCAGGGGAGTCGGTGTCACTCTCTGAGTCAGGCAGGAGGGCCTGCAGCGGTGTGGAGCTCTAGAGTTCGAAGGTTCGGGCTTCTCAGGTGGGGTTTAGGGTTTAGGCTTTTGGGATTGGGGTCTAGGGTCTAGGGTCTTTTTTGCCTCCCACCTTGTCTAGGGTCTAGGGTTTAGGGTTTAAGGTCTAGGGTTTAGGGGGTTTAGATGGAATGGCATCCTGCATGGATAGGTCGAACCGGAACGAAGCAGAGGGGGCAATTGAGATGGCCACGCTTTAGAGTTTAAGGTGTGGATAGGCTATCCCCTCAGTGTTTTAGGTAGAGCTACCGGGCCGGGCCTTGGACTTGCGAGCTACGAAGGCTTGGTGCTGGCTGCGACAGCATTGCGGGAGCTTGGGGTCAATGAGGGTTTGGGGTTTAGGGTTGAGGGTTTAGGGTGGCTAAGCAAGGAGGTGAGACTTCTCCCAGATCGCAATACGAAGCAGAATGGTTGCCCCCTTTGCTACACTTAAGATGTCCGACTGAGGCTTGGGGCATTGCCTAGAATCAACCTCTCCCTAACACCCCTAACCCTAAGCCCTAAACCCCAACAGCTAAAAATCAAGAATGGGGTGAGGTTGAAACACACCTCGCCAAACAAAGGGGTTCGGACACTGAAACCTCCAAAAAATCTCTTAGACTTTTGCTCCTTACTTGAACCCCTGTATATCTGTAGTACGAGATGGGCTTCTTGAACATGGAGTGTGGTTTTTTTCGTCGTGTTTGTGACACTTGCAGAGACTCACTCCGCCCGACAGCGAGGGAAACACGTTCTCGAAAAAACGACGATGCTCCACAGGCCCCAGATGCTCGCAAAAGTAGTTGTGTCTTCTTTTTACTGTAGACTCCAAGTATTGGTGTCCTACTTCACATAATTCTCGGAGAGGTCCATTCCTGCCAAAGACAAACATGGAACGGTCCCAGGAACGTAGCGACACCCAGCCTTCCGATCACAGGATCGAGTCAGGAAGAACTGTAAGAGGCAGCGGCCACCAGGCAAGGAGAGCGTACCCCTCATGCCTCGAATGGCTTTTTGCTGCTGAACCGGATCGCCGATGGGGGTTTTAGGGTTTAGGGGTTTGGGGGTTTCGATATCAAGACGCAGCCGAAGAGTGCAGAAGGGGCCGAGGACAACAAAACCGATCGGGGGCGATCTAGAGGCGTTTCGGGTTCAAAGGACTGGGTGTTCCAATACCGCTTGGTCAACCAGGGGGCTGCTCATATATATGTAGATATATATATATATATATTAATGGGTTGATTCACTAGTTAATTAATTAGTTAGTCAGTTAGTTGGTTGTGTATAAAAACAAATAAACAAACAAATAAATACCTATATATATATTATATTTTTTCGAGAGAGAGAGAGAGAGAGGGAGAGAAAAGAGAAAAAGATAGAGGCTTCAGTGGTTAGAACAGGTTTTTGCGGGGTATATCATCGCATACTTATGCATATAATACTTCGAGGAGATACTACATCAGACCATATATAGATGACTCTCTTTTCCGACCCCTACTGCTAGCCGAGGGGGAACTGCATACATCTGAAGACGCCGTAAAAACTTCTTCCCAAGTGCACACACCCACTGAGCAACCAAGCTACCGCGGAAGGAGAAGCCACACGTGGCCAGGAACAGTCCAGCTTCTGCAAAAGTCAGTATGGGTCCCGCTGCATCCTGTGATTTCCTCCACTCCATAGAGACCATGATGGGGAAGAGGAAAATGAGGTATACAACACACAGCTTGGTGATCATCTTCAGTATGAAGCAGCGCTCATCCGTTGCACTGCGACAAACGACAACAATGAGAAATGCCCTGCAGAGTATAGGAAGACACTGAAACACGATGTAGTACCAAGCCATGTACTGCAAGCTACTGAAGGGTATCAGTGTTGCGAACAGCCTCAGTGTCGCAATAAGGGTACATGGCACCAATGCCAGCCCCGGGACAGCGATCTCCGCATGACCAGCGTCCTGAATCCATACACCTTTTTAGGGTTGAGGGTTTACCCCCTAAACCCTAAACCCTATAAACCCTAGACCCTGAACCCTAAACCCTAAACCCAGGGTTTAGGGGGTTTAGGGTTTTAGGGTTAAGGGTATAGGGCCTGCACGGGCGACGTCCCGAAGGGTCGGCGTGGACATCCCGGCAGTCAGAAGCACGTGGATGGCGTAGTCTACGTCGTTTGTTTGGGCGCCGATCTCCGCATGAATCCTTACTTCAAGCAAAAGGCTCACGTCTCAGATAAGTCATAATCCCTAAAGAGTCTACGGTAAGGCAAAGGTTACATGGATGACTGTACCTACTTTTGGGGATAGATAAACCCGAATATAGCCCTCTAAACCCTATAAAGCTCCAAACCCTAAACCCTAAAGGTCCTAAACCCTAAACCCTAAGCCCTCTAAACTGTAAAGCTCTAAAATCAAAAAAATGTCTACAGCGGAGACTCCGCACGGCGTCGTCCGGCTTGGAGCATGTGGCATGCGCGATGGAGCCTCGGAAGCCTGTCCTGGTTTAGGGTTGAGGGGGTTTTTGGGGTGTAGGATTCGGGATTTGGGGTTTAGGGTCTAGGGTTTGCGATTTAATGTAGGTTTCTCTCCCTCCCACTTAGCAAGGACGAGCCCACATTGCAGGGTTGTGTTCAGAACAGAGGCAGGTTTCAGGGTTTAGGAATTGGGGTTTAGGGTTTAGGGTCTGTCCGGAGCTGCGAGGTCTCTTCCTCCCAGGACAAGCAGCTGATGCGGTCGACCTGCATCTCTGGCTACTCTAGCCCTTAGCATCAAAACAGCCCAGAAAGCCTTACTTAAGAGGGTCTTTGGGCCCAAAAGCCTTCACATATGAGTCCTTTGATGGTAAGGGTAGACGCTTGACGGACCAAGTGAGGCTATCTCACACTTCAACTCTGGATAGAATCTCTTGCAGGGAGATGGGCTTCTGCTGTTGGGTTAGGACCAGGAAGTTTAAGGGTTCCTATCCGATATATCCGCAGCACAACCAGGTAGTCCAGGGATCGGGAGTACTGCTATACACACCTGATGCCACCTGATGCTCTGCCCAAGTTCAGCGAAGACATGAGACTGAGAACTAAACCATCACGATAGAATACCCAGCTAATGCAGGAGCCGGAGCTGTTCGAAATATGGTTCCTTGGTCGCTATGCAAACACCGCCAACACGTAGTCAAGACATGTGCGTGTGTGTGTATATACTATATATATATGTATGTATTTATGTATTTATGTATGTATGTATGTACGTACGTACGTAGGTATGTATGTATGTATGTATGTAGACACATGTATCATATAATGGGTCACTCGTCCGACAACAAAGGCTTGCATCCACGGACAAAGACACGAGTTCTTCCAATCGGATGCTGGCGAAATCTTCCATGGAAGGGTCGAAATATAGCCTAAGCTACCATAACCGACGTTTTTGTAGGTTCTCATGGTACACCCATATATGAATTTTATAGGAGCCCTACACAAAACTAGGTTTTGGTAGAATTAGGTATATCTCCTTTCCCCCAAGAAGCTCACAGTCACGTCAGAAGCTAGGGTTTAGGGTTTAGGGTTTCGCCAGACGCTTGACAACAGCCTCTGAACATCCATACAAAGTAGGCCTAAAGTATATGCAATAGGTACGCGAACCCTGGGGGCGCTGACCCCAGAAAACAGATTAGATGTTGGATCTGGAGTTTTGGACTTTGGGGCGCTCCGAAGGTTAGCTGCGGTACTTCTGCCGGTTTTGCTTGGGTCTGCACGCCGAAAGTCTCAGCACTCGAAACAACCAAATGACTGTAAACCCTAAACCCTACACCCTACAGACACAAAATCGAAAGAACTCTGATACACCGTCAAACCCAAAGTAAACTTCTGTTTTGGTTGTTGCAAGCCGGGTTGCGGCTATGTTGGCGCATTCTCTTTCGATTTGCGCGTTTTAACTTGTTTAACGCCCAAGTGAACGAAAACAGATAGCACGGAGGGTGGGTGCGCGCGCTGCTTGAAGACTTCGTTGGATTCTGAGGCGTTTGTAAGTTTGGGTTTGTAGACACAGTCAAAAATTCAAGGGATTCTTGAGATGCACAGAATTTACGGTTTCTTTAGCAAAAACAAAAGCCCAAGATGTCAAACCGCCCGAGAAGGCCAGAACCTTGACACATCCAAACATCTGACACTCCAAAGCTCTATGCAGAGGAACGCTGTTGAGAGCCTATGTCTCATGCCAGACATCTTTGGAATTCGGTGTTCCTGTTCTGGTTTTCGCCTTTGCTTTTTAAGAGTGTCATCATCTGTCCCGCCTTATAGACTATGCGTGCGTAGGTGTTGATATGTTCAACAACCTGGGAAAACTGGGAAGATGTTGCTCAAGCTACAGGTGGTTACTAGAAGGGAGCATTTAAACGATTGTGAAAGTGGCTACATCTATAAGCTAGACACTGGGCTAGATACAAGCAATATGGAAAAGGAGACGACACGATGAGCAGCGTGATTAGATAGGGCAATGTTGGGCATTATGAGATTCACCCCGCTTTAGTCGAAGGATGTCGAGGGCAGAGTTACGATCACAGGATGATTCAGGGGTAACACAAGCCAGGAAGTTCAGAGCCAGCAGAATTTAGAATCCGATCTAGTTACAGAGTACCTCAAGGAAATCCTTGGGCCTTACTATAACTCCTAAGCCCTATATAATGCCCAAACCTGTAGCTCCAAACCTAATGGTTTGGGTTTAGGGTTTAGGATTTTAAGATTTTCATCCAAGGGCCAAGCCTGCATGGCAAGGTTGACACTGAGTCGGCAGAAGGAAGCGAAGGCGAGTTCCGTTTGGTTTAGGGTGTATGGCTATTTGGGATTTTGGGTTTAGGGCCTGACCAGGGTTAACCTCTCAGATGATATGGAGAATGTATCACCCCAAAATGCTGGCTCTGCACCCCAGCCTCCATCAGACAGAAGTAGCTGGCCATGATGAGCAGAAGGAATCTCTGCTCCAAAAGGGAATACATCTTCGAAAATCCTGCGTGCAAGGGAGGCCCGTGGGCTCAAGTGCCAAACGACACCCTGAACATCTAGAGAAACAACGCAAAGAAAGATCGTAGGAAGCACTTCAACACAACCTGCACTAGAAACATGCCAACAACCATGGCATTACCACCAAGAAATGTCGGTATCATCTACGGCACAGCTTCTACTGCAAAATGAGAAACAAAGTACGACGTGAGCACCAAACACATGTCAAAAGTGCAGCTTGCCACTCTGCTTCCTGGAAGGCCGAGGAAGGTGTGAAATCTGTACCAATGCGCGGTCCTGAGACTTTCAGACCCGGTCATTCCGAAAATTTTGGTTAAGTGTAGCAAAAACCAAAGGCAATGGAGCTGTTAAACTCATACAAAAATAAGTCGGAACCTGTATTAATCAGGGTCGAAGTCGTAAAATTGTGAACGGAAAGGTCCCTCCAGTTACTAGTTAAAACCCTAAACCCTAAACCCTAAACCCTAAACCCTCCAGTTACTAGTTAGGTACATGATCTCTAACCCGAAGAGCCCCCAACCCATGCATCTTTCCTCTCGCGTGTATTTATGCTAAGGCTACCAGAATAGTTTAGTTTAGTTTGACGAAGCAAAATGAGTATCTCACTACGGAATAGACATTGCATCCTCATGTCAAGATGTAAGCCCCTACTAATTAGATGCGGCGTTCGCTAATTACGCAGTGTTGTGGTTGCTTTCCACCGACGGAAGCCATAAATCGTCAGATGACTGGCTGGGTGCAGGTCCAGGCATGCTAGGCCCTGCTAGTCTGTGCTAGTCCCTCATTTCTGCAAGGTGCAGGAAGCACGACGCCATGATCCCGATCCTGTTCGCCACCATGCGCCGGTCGCTACGCTGAAGGCTTGCGCTGGCCACGAAGCTGGCCAACACGACAAACATAGCAGTGATGCTGAGAACATGATGGACGAGGGTGTGCTTGCCGGTGAGCCTTCAGGGCTCGAGCATTGATTACTGCTCCTGGGTAGTGAGGCCAGGTTCCCGTGGCTTCTGACTTGACGCGTTCTGATAAACAGTCTAAAGATGTTCCCCAAACCCTCAACCCTAACCCCTGAACCCTAATCCCCAAACCCCAAACCCCTGAGAAACAGCCTAAAGATGTTCCAAGGAGTTCGATGCTGCCAACTTGTACAACCAGAGACCTGCCTCCACCATCTCAGCACCAGGGCCAAGATGACCCCAAGAAGACCTCCACTTGTCAAAGGCACATCTTGGAAGTGGACATTCATTTAAGCTCAATGCTACAGTGACGCGTGTAGTGCGGCGAACGACTCTTCTTCCCTCCCCTAGGATGGTGCTTGGTATGTCATGGCATGTCGGTCACGGATTGCTGGATGCACCCCCAGCCCCTCCCCATTCCGGGCTGTCATGGTGATTAAGAAAAGGGCCCTGTATTAACCCAAACCGAACCTGAACGGAGAACGACTCAGCCCCAGTGCTGGGTTTTGTGAGTTGAAAGGTGGCAATAGCATTAGCTAACGGCTCTGATGAGTGTCGAGGAGTAGAGAGTTGGTTCAAAGCGTTAGGAATACTTGTCAAAAGCACTTCCGGACTTTGATTCCTTCGTCTCTCACGGTTTCCGAGCCTGCCTTGCCTTTGATTCATGTGTTCGAGACTGCTGCTTGGGGAGCTATCTGGCTTCGATCGCGACTGACCCTCAATCCCAAACCCTAAAACCCTAGCCCTAAACCCGAAGCCGTAAACAACCCTAAGCCCTAAACGAAGCATCGGGGCTCCCGCTGCCTCTAATACGGACTGAACTGATAAAACCAAGGGAAATTGGAAACCCAAGCTTTGGAGCTCCAGCGATTCAGGGTTTATGGTTCAGGGGTCAGTGTTTAGGGTTTGGGGTTGAGGGTTTAGGGTTTAGGGTTCAGGGAAGTTTGAGGCTAATTGTCCTGAAACTTGCAAACTTCATCGCCCCTTGCTCTGCATCTGCACCATCGTATACATGTGTATGTGTATGTACATATCTACACACACACGCAGATATATATATATATGTATAGACACGCAGAGGTGGATGCATGTACACATGCATGCGTGTGTTTCCATCTACATACAGACTTCTACATCATCTAACTCCATATATACACATTATGCAATATGTATATATGTATATATGTATATATGTATATATGTATATATGTATATATGTATATATGTATATATGTATATATGTATATATGTATATGTGTATATATGTACATAGTACATATATATATATATGCTACCCCCCCCCCCATTGACCTACCTTTGTTGGGGGTC